CTCAATTAAATCAAAACCACCTGAAATTCGAGTCATAAATGACCTCTAGTTGTTTTTAATCGACTAGTGATTATAACAATCTTAAGTAACGGAACAACTTTATACCGAGTTCTGGAATTTTCATTCAATCCCTTTCAAACAACGTAAATGAAGTGATTAAAGAAAATATTGAAAAGGAACAATGATTTCAATATGATGTTCTTGGGATCCAATGGATCGAAATCTCTGAAGAGAAGAGATAATAATGGCCTGTGTACCTTTGTTTTTCAACTATGGCATGCCCTTTTATATATTGTTTATTATTAATTAATTTTTTATTCTATGTGTGTTGTGGGGTTGATGGAGATCCCATTTTCAAAACCCCAAATCATTGAAAGAATAAAAACAAGAACAAGACAAAACTATTGTAATTTTTTAATTCCCCACCATTTTCCTCCTGCTTTTTTTTTAATAATTCAAGAGCAAAAAATAAATGAATAAAGAACGTTCCCCACGACTATTTGTCTAATGTATATAATATATGAGGAGGGGGAACCCATAACAAGAATCTCATCGTAAACATGAATATTATTAATTAGAAACATGATATGTAGAGCCTAAGTGCCTAACCATTGTTTATTTAACCATATGCTTCCCTCACAATTTGCCATAATTAATCTCCAACTTACATACATACATATATATGGATTTATTTGTTTCCATGTCTTTTTCTCTTTGTGGGTTGTGATTGATTGCTTCTCACCAATCTTTGGTTCATCTTCATAGAGCTGTCGATCATTACTATTAGGTAATTAATTAGTAGCAATATGGTTTAACCTATTTTTGTACGTTGACATACTTTTGGTTCGCAATATGCTCGAAATTGTTTTACGAGTACATCAATAATAGTTGTATGAAAACCCAATTTTCTCATGAGATAGAGGAAAAATATAGCTACGACTCCATGCATACCCTTAGCAACAATTCCATGTCCATGGAACCCATGAAGCTCAAAAGGATATTAAACGTTTATTGGGACATTATACGCATTCCCTCAAGACTAGCTAACAATTAGTATGGATGTTGGGGGTACATGGACTCTCAATGGCTCCTATGATGTGGCTCGATCTGGCACTTGAATAGTCTTAATTTGAGCCAACGTCCAATAAAGGCCGATGCTCGCACAAACAAATAAAGCATACTATTCACACCGATAAAGTAATTCACTACACAATAATAGACGAGCGATTGTGATTTTTTGCATACTGATACTCAAGTCTCAAACATTCAGATAACAATCGTTCCGTGAAACATTATCTAGATATAAGTTTGAGAATAAGATCAATAGAGGAGTTTTAGGGTTTAGACATAAAAATTCCAACATTGGAAGTGAAAATATTGGTTCAAAAACCAAAAGGCAGGCAGGTGGGTGATGATGGTAAAGGGTTGTGACCCCAAAAAACAATACACTTCTTGGTTTGTTGGCAAAACCAAAAGTGGGTTAATAAAGCTTTCCACCACCACTACCAATACTACAAACCATCTCATCTTTGCAAAAAGAAGAGAAAGAGATCAAGAAAGTAGCTAACTATATAGCTAGCTCATAGTTGACTAAGCTTCAACTAACGGTCAACGCACCTCTCATATCACACATTACAAAACATTGGTCTCCCACTTAATTATATGTAATTATTTAGGTCTAAAGAACAACTCATTAATCACAAACATGATTATATATAGACCTAAACCCTTTTAACAAAACAACATTTGAAGAAGGCCTAACTAATCACCTACCTACCTCACTTTCACTTTCTCCTTACGTACGTGGTTAAAAAAATTAAGACACACTATACGTACTACGCTTACTAGCTAGCTAACTTTCTTGGACTAACCGACCGAACCCAAGTCAACTGTATATATAAATATATAATTATATATATACACGGCCTATAAAATTTAAATATATATTACATATATTTAATTTACTTTGTATATATATATATATATATGCACGTACATTTGACCTTGCGAGTTAGTGTGCATGGAAAGTAAAGTTATTATTATCATCATTACCATATCGCCGTCCAGATGACAATATAGCAACAGTAGTAGTTTAGTTTGGTTGGAGATGCATCACAACAAACGATTTCAAATGTTGTTGTTAATTATTGTGTCATCATGAGACTCATGAGAGCATCATATTTATATACTAATCAACTACGGATGATTAGTTTTCTATGTAAAACAATAATTATCATCCTTTACGTGGTTGTTCAGGTGTCATATCTAGATATTTAGTTTAAGCATATGCTAATTATTCATGACTAATTTCTCCTTTATTGTTGAATAGACATGCATAGTCGCGAAGCGCGGACATTTAACCAACCAGGTTATCTAGTTGAGGGGTGGAAGTTCGGTTTTGTGGGTTGCAGGCTGACCACAAATATAAATCGCATCGAATCACACATATTTTGATTACACAATGATTATCTTTTGTGGTTGGTGGTCTGTTTGTGGTTAGTGGTTGCAATTAAACCACACTTATCCATGAAATTTTCATTTTCTTAATATTAGCATATCATAATTGATATTAATAAATATGATTATCAACTTTTGGAGACTTGTCTAAGGTTTAATAGCTAGCACTTTAGTAAGTTATTGGTTATATGGTTGAATTAGTTACGGAATTTTCTACTTTGTACTTATTATTAAATTATCTTGACGTCTTTTATGAATAAAGATGATGTTGTATTGTTGTATTATTGCCCCCTCAATTGCATTTATCTATTCTCAAATTCTGCCACTTATTTTATCCACGATATTTATCTGTCTTGTTTTTATTTGTACCTTCCTTCTACTGCTCTATTTCTTCTTTTGTTCATCCTTTATTTGTTATATTCTCCATGCGTGACACATAGTTCCTGCATATTTTTACCGTTTGTGTTTCTCGTTTGAATCTCCCTACGTTTTATGGTAAATAGATTTTGGTTGTGGCTAACCATGCACAAAATGTGGTGTGGTTAACAAAAACCTAACCAACTTCTCCATCTAGCCGGTGAGAGGAAAATTTGAGCAAATAAGAATGATATTGAGCGTGATTTTAATTTATAGGATGATTCGTTTTTACAAACGAGCGGCCGATCTCAAGAATTGGGGTGAGAGTTAAAATCTAAAATGCCTTTATTTACTAATAATAAACAACTATGAGTTGGAGTTGCATAAACTCTTAACTCGATCTTCAAAATTTTATTTACGAGTATATGATATAAACATCTCATGCTCGGTCAAAAAATCAAATTCCCTACCTCGATCGGATAACAACGAGTAGAGTATGCATACAAAAGGGGAATGTATTGTCAATTTTTGTCAACCTATCTAGTTCCCTACTCAAACTTTATAGACCACAGAGCTAGCTAGCTAGGGTTTTTCTTTCTTGAACAATGCACATAAGCTAGGTAGCATGGCTAATGCAATGCACACTGAGATATACTGAAAGCTTATGATAAAGGTAAAAAAAAAAGCTTTTCTGTAAGCCACGAGTGATCAGTAAAAAAACAAACCCATGTTGGGGGGAATTTCAATCAATTGATCAATCATGCGACCGTAAAAATGTTGGGAAAGTTAGTTGGGTAAAAGGGAGTCAACTGTGCAAATCATGTTGTAACTTTTCATTAGTTTTTACGTTTCTCCATAAATCAAAAATCATGTTTTAACCCTTTTTGTTTGTTGCCTGCTGTCTGTCCTCTTCTCTCGATCTGTGCATTGATACACTACAACCAAAAAAAAAAAAAAAAGACAAATTGGTGCTCATGACTTCACTTTCCCACTTTTCCTTTGAAAAATGGAGGGGAAAATTTAAAGGTGAAGACAGTCTGGGTTGCCTTTTGTTTTTTTCTCCCCGCACCCTTCTTTTTAAGCTTTTGGGACTTGATTCAAGGGAGGGCAAAAGTCGGGATTTTCCCACTTTTCACTCTCGACTTCAGGGTCTTTGGAGAAGCCAATCGAGAAAGTTTTTTTTTTTTTTTTGCAGGATTGTGTGGTTTGAAGTTTGAACAATTTAGAGGTTTCACAATCCATTGGAGTTTTAATTATCATATGATCACATTTCACGTTTGAAAAATCTCCCATAGGTTATCCGTCTCGCGCACAAATATGTTTAGCTAATGGTATAAATATGTTTATTATTTTGCTTAGTACTTTACTTTCAAAATGTATGCATATTACTCAACCAACAAAACTGACCTGTATCTACTGCTCACTAATTTCATTGTGGCATAAACTTGTGCCACTAAACTCGAATAAGTGTAAATAGAGCTTTCCAGTATCGTACCATCTAACAGTGCTGCTTCATTAAAGACCTAGTGTGATTCATATGCAAAGCTTCATTTATCAATAGTTTCGATAGATTAAGATGACTTATAAACTTAAATTGGGATTTCTGATATCATCAGTAAATTTTTTACATTTCTTCAAGAATTACCATCACCGGATCATTCTAGTTATATTTCCCACCTCATAGTCATAAGACTATCTCGATTGAGGCTCATTCATTATATTTTTTTATTACAACACAATCATTTGTAAACTTTCCTTATTAATTTGAACTTCTATGCTTCACTCATCTGATAAATGTGAATGCGTTCATACTTACTTTTGATAGAAATCGTTTCGCTCGCGCCTAACAAAAATAAAACCACTTACAAAAATTATGTCCGAAATTACTAATATTTTGACATATATTTATAGTAATAACCTTCATGAGAAGAAAAAAGGCAAGTGGAGAGTAATTCCTTTTCTATCAATTCCAGCTTTTTTATAATATCATTCCAGGAGGGTTTGCTAGAAAAGGAACAAGGGAAAAGACAGAAAGTGCCACGTCAGAATTTCAGCCGTAGGCTTCCCTCCCTCTCCCACCGTTTCTTTTATTTTATTTTTTATTTTCTCCCGTTTATGCATTCAAATTTTCAATATTACAATTATTCTTATTTTTCATTTAGGACAAAAACCCATTAAGAATCACAAAGAAAGAAGAGATATCTCTCCACATATCCCACATCTCCATCTCTTCTCCTCTCATCTCACTTTCCTCTCACAGTTTCATGGCCATCTTCTCACATTCTAGCTCTAGCTAGGTTTTCAATCTTATTTTCTTCCCTATTGGTTTTTTTTTCCTCCTATATTTCTTTGTGTGGTTGAGAGAGCCCATATTATCATTTCTTCATCTCCTTTTTTCCTTTGCTTCTTCATGGGTTGAGAGAGAGCAAGTGGTCTGGTCTAGCTAGTTCTATTCTGGGTTTGTTTTCTCAGTTCTAGAGCTTCCATCCATCCCTCCCTCTCTCTTTCTCTATCTTCTTTTTTAAAAGAAAAGTTCTTTTCTTTCTCCACCCTTTCTTGTTTGCTTTGAAACTGAACCAAATCCAAACCCAAAAGAGTTCCAAACCTTGTCTGTTCTTGGTGGAGTCCAAACAAAGCAGAACAAACCAGAGGGAGAGAGAGTAGTAAGTGAGTGAGTGAGAGCAAAAACACAGATCCAAATGGAAAAAAATTATATGACAAGGAATAGTCCATAGAAGCTTTCCAGTTTCCACCCTCTTCCTCTCTTCCTTGTTTTCAAGCTAAAACCAAACAAAAAGCTTGAGGAGAAAACAAGGAACCCAAAATCATCACATCAGTCCACTACTCTTCACCACCACCACCACCATTATTATAATATTCACAGCCATATATGTATATATACTCATCCCTTCCTCCTTCTGACCCTTTCTTCCCCCTCCTCTTCTCCTGCCTTTAGATCCTTCACTTTTTGCACAACCCAAAAGCAAAGTTCAAATCTTTATCCCTCCCTTTCCCTTACTGTATCATGATGATGATGAAAAGCTTCATGTTTCAGCAGCAGCAGCAACAACAAGATCAAGAAAACATGTCCAACCTCACAACTTCAGCTTCAGGAGAAGCAAGTGTCTCCTCCTCTGGTGGTAGAGTGGATCAAAACAATTACCACCCACCTCCAGAAATCCCACCATCCAATCAGCCACCTCCCAAGAAGAAGAGAAACATGCCAGGCAACCCAGGTAACAAAATTTTTTTTACCAATAATTAATTTCCACTTTTGTTTTTGCTTATGGGGTCAAATCTTGAGGTCAAGCTTTGTTTTTTTGGGGTTTTGTGACCAGACCCAGATTCCGAAGTGATATCTCTGTCCCCCAAGACCTTGATGGCAACGAACCGGTTCCTATGCGAGATCTGCAACAAAGGGTTTCAGAGGGACCAGAATTTGCAGCTCCACAGGCGAGGCCACAACCTGCCTTGGAAGCTGAAGCAGAGGCCCAAGAATGAGGTCGTGAAGAAGAAAGTGTACGTGTGCCCCGAGCCGAGCTGCGTCCACCACGACCCCTCGAGGGCGCTGGGGGATCTGACGGGGATCAAGAAGCATTTCAGCAGGAAGCACGGCGAGAAGAAGTGGAAGTGCGATAAGTGCTCGAAGAAGTACGCGGTTCAGTCGGATTGGAAGGCTCATTCCAAGACCTGTGGCACTAGGGAGTACCGATGTGACTGTGGCACCCTCTTCTCAAGGTAACATCATATGATCAAAATATTGTACACGAATTGGCAGCAGGATGAAAAGATTGAATCAATCATCTCTCTCGCTTTAATTTTCTCTATATATACCTTTTTGTTTTTGTTTTGGTTTTGGTTTTGGTTGTGAGATAGAGAGTATTAATTGGTGTTCCCTAGTGAAAGGACAAGGTGTGAGATTGTGAGACTCTATCAAGCTCTCCCTATAGCCTTGGTTTGGTGTTGGCAAAGGGAATTTGGCAATAAATGTGTGAGAGATCTGTCCTTGTAGAGGGAATTTTCTCATATTCCTTGTAGAGGGAGAGATGGATGTGGTTTCATTAATGGCTGACATTAGAAAGAGAGAGGGAAGAAAATAGTCAAACTGAAGCTTAGTTTGGTAAATAGTAATAATGGCAGGAGCAGCACTACAAAGAGAGAGATGGATGATGGAAAGAAAGTCAGAAAGAAGAGGAGAGGAAGAAAAAGGGGATGAATATTATTCATGTATTCTTTAATTGCTTTCTCTCTTTTGTCTTGTTTCATATGTTTGTTTGTTTTGTTTTGGTGTTTGCAGGAGGGACAGTTTCATAACCCACAGAGCATTCTGTGATGCATTAGCAGAAGAAAGTGCAAGAGCCATCCCTACCGCTACAGACCCACAAATGATTCTTCCTTCCACACCTTCTTCTTCTTCCCATCTCCAAACAATCCCACAATTCAACAACCAAGGAACCAACAACAACAACAACAATTTCCTCCATTACCCATTTTCCTCCTCCTCCTCCCAGTCACTGAAAAAGGAGGATGGCAGCGGCAGCAATAATAACAATCATCACATGATGGACAATAATGGTAATTTCGGCCTCCTGCTCAACAATGGCAATGGCAGCAACAGCGGTAGCAGAGAGCTGCCACCATGGCTAGCCAGCTGCCCGCCTGCAGGCCTACGAGGAGTAGGCCCGGGCCCACTCCACCCTCATCATCATCATAACCTCTCATCATCTTCTCCCTCCTCATCATCCATTTTGTCCAGTAATCCAGCAAACCCTAGCCAGCTGGGCCCGGCCTTACCCAACTTCCACCCCGCGTCCGGCCCACACATGTCAGCCACCGCGCTGCTCCAGAAGGCCGCCCAGATGGGCGCTACCACCGCCACCACGCCCGGTTCCAAACCGGCCGGCCTGATGCTGGCCGGTCCGACCTACCCAGACCGCTACGTGCCCAACAACAACAATGCCGGGTTTGGTTTCGCGTCGTCCGTGTCACGTGACGACGTGGGGACCACCAACAACAATGCAGGCGGTGGCGGTGGAGGAGGAGGAGGAGGAGGGTTGTTTCAGGAGATGATGAACTACTCGTTGTCGGCGGCGGCGGCGGGTGGGGCGGGGTTTGACGACGACGGGGCGATGGCTTCGTTCGAGGATGCGTTTGGCGGTGGTGGCGGAGGGAAGGCGGCGGCGGCGGCGGGTGGTGATGGCGGAGGAGGAGGAGGAAATAATGAGGAAGGTGGGATGACGAGGGATTTCTTGGGGCTGAGGCCATTGACGCACAGTGATTTGCTGAGCTTGGCTGGTTTTGGAAACTGCATGAACAACGATAATGCTGCTGAGCAGCAACAGCAGCTGCAGCAGCAGAGACATAGTAGCAGCAGTAGTACTCATCATAGTCACGAGTCTCAAAAACAACCTTGGCAAGGTAATTAATTCTACCAATAGAGGAATATATTCCCCCTCGTCTTTTTTTTTTTTTTACTGTATTTTTTTTTTTACCCTTCTGCCTTCGGTTAAATTTGGACTTTGTTCTTATATGATGCTATAAGTTCATGATCCCCCTCTTGAATCTTTCTATATGTTATACGAGTAATTTCAATTTGTTGTACTTTTTTTTTTTGGTTAATCTGTTTCCTCCCATCCCCTATGTTGTTAATTATGTGAGATGCCCTAAGGGTTTTCTTTGGACCATTATTGACTACAAGTGCCGTAATTTGAAAGTGTATTTTTAGTGTTGACCATCTACACATTAAAACCATGGTCGATGAAACCGTACCGGAGATCGTACCTGGAAAGTCAACGGTAGGATATTTTATGGTAAAATCGTGGTTTAACCGTAGTTCAACCGTTATACTGTTAAATACCGCATATAAGTTTAGCCTCCAATACTGGTATTTCGTGGTTGAACCGCCGGTACGGTACGGTTTCATGACACTGATTAAAACAAGCTTTATGATTAAATAGGTTACTAATTTGACAATAATTGTAAACTTGAAAGGCACTTGCTTAATTAATTTAAATAGGTGATGAGTCCTTCCTTAGGATACCGTTCATATTCAAAGCGTTGATCGATATAATACGCTATGGATTGATCACCATAATTTAAGGCACCAAAACCCAGAAAACCAGCTGCTACATATATATATATATATACACGCTATTTAATGATAAATTAATTTTTGGCATTTTCAGCTATATTAATGAATGATACTTTGGAGCACCTGTCCAGCAGTAAGTATGTCGTGCATTGGGAACGTACATACAAAACTTGCCATGTCTTGACTTAATTAAATACTCTCATGATCTTAATCTGAGTAAAAAAAAAATGAGTAACATAATTAAAAGGGAACTGTAATCGTGTGCATTAGGTAACTTAAGCCTCTACTATACAAGAGATATGCTAATTAATTGGCACTTGACAGTATGTGCGCCCATTTCCTTCGTAAATTCCCAGTGCTTTTGTGAGATACCAACTAATCAAACAGACTGTATTAAAGTTTGACAAAAAGATAATCACACCAATGTACCACATATATCAGAGATCAGCAAATGATATTTTTATGTGAAGCATCAATATCTAAAGAATTCAAAAGATAAAAAAGTGGTAGTTGGAATGAGTTATTTTGATCCGAATTACTCACTGTAAGTTATTTGGACCAAAATAACTCGTTTTGATAAATTAATTTGGGATGCGATATTTGGAGGATAAGTTATTTTGAAATAGTTCAAAACGGTTATTTGAAATAATATCTAAACAGACGTGCTTCCATGATATGCAAAAAAAAAAAAAAAAAACAAAGTCTTGATGCGTACCAACATTTTTCAAATATTATCGTGACAGAAGTCCTCCACACTAGCAAACTCTCCCTTGCTAACATGTTGAAGCAAGATCTCACCGAGAACACGATGTCTTTCTCTTCTGGTCAAGTGAGAGTAATATGGCTAGATGAAAAACCAAATCATGAATAATAGCTCAAAGTAGATATACGAGCTGGGTAAATCCATGAGTAGAACACGAGACATCTCGGTACCTCCTAATCCTATCATTCATAAAAAGATATTACGAAACAACACTCCAAATATTGGATAAAACTTCGTAACCGAACATATATTTATCTTACACTAATGGAATATATTATCACAATATTTCATTAAATTCGATCTACATAACTTGCAGAGACAAACGACAAATCTCTAGCCACAGACAATTGGACTAAATTCAGCAACGTAATTATTATATGATTACCAAAAATAAGGATTTCCCCTTTTTCTCGATATTTTGCCCCTCTTTTTAAGGGTTTAAGTGGGAAGGGATGAGGGAACAACTGGGGCACCTTCACATGCAAAACACATATGAATGAATGAATGAATGAAATATGCATTCTAGTCATGGCTTACAATAATTGTGCATGGATTTCGATCGGTCACAATATCTTTCAAATAATTCAACTATCATATGATCAAATAAAATTATCATTAATTATATTGTTCTCTTTGCTATATCCCAAGGGGTGAAAAAAGAAGCGCTTTCATCGACATAGTAAGCAAACATATGTAAAAGGGAACTTTCTGGTATAGGCAAACTTACACATACTCTCCACTAACACTAATGAATATTGTGTATAATATTGTGTCCATGGTGGTCCACTTTTGCTTCGAGTTAGGCTTACACAAATTTGGGCTATGGCCCTCTCCTCTCTTTGAGATGTAGTACCATACAATAATTATAGCTAGGTAGGATTTGATTATTCTCTCAATTCATAAGAAAGGAATTTTGTAAGATTATTCTCTTGACATGTCCACATGTGAATGATAGCATTGGAAGATAAAAACAAACCATCGTTTGGTGTCCTCCTTGCAATTCTTATATTGTATGGTCCAGTCATGATCGGAAGTTATCTTTACTTTTGTTGGAGTCGTTCTTTATTAAAAGCGAAGGTAAATATCATTTTGCGACTCTTCTTAATTCTTATACGTTGCTTTATGGCTTTAGTATAGAGATAGTAATTTAGAAACATATAAAATATACTTAGATGCTACTAATAGTTATGTTGCGCCATTCTTTCTGACATTTATATTACACCTTTATCAAATTATGTTGCTTTTGTTCTTCGTTGTTTTCGTTTTCCCTTTTTTAAACCTCCTTTTATTTAATCCTATTTCACCATTATCAAATTATATTACACCATATGTAGCAGGCTCCTCTTAGACAAACCTTGTGTAACCCTAACTGTTAAATTTATTTAAATTTGACCATCTCTGACCTGACCTCGATCAATGCTTGAGAACCACCCACTACATGATTAGAATTGACCCGATTTGCATATCGACTTACATATCATATTTGCCTCGACCCTTTTGACCACAAAATCAACAATAACCCTATATACATACAAGTAAATCACATAAATATTACTCAATTAGTACGTAATTTGTGAGGTTTACAATAGTAAAAAACTCTTGGCATGTTATTACATGAACTCACGACACCAACAAGTGCCATTCCAATCGTGGGGTTTAGAGATCTATGTATGTCGGTACAATTCTCTGATTACAATGCATGCACGTGAAACACTGGAATATTCCATCATTCATTTGGTATATTGATTAAATTGGACACTTTATTTTCCACTCGAATGATACCATGGGGGGAGTGATTGTTCAAAAAGGAAAGAAATTACCAAGCAAGTGTTAAGAGGAAAAGGGGGAAACTGGAAACATTTTTGAGGGAGGTGGTATACACAACGGAAGTAGAAAAAAGGCATCGGATTCTTTCAAGAGATCGAGGGGGGAATTACAAAAGATTAAATTAAACAAATAATTGAGATGTGGGAGTTAACTGAGTTTGGAGATATGTTTTTTCTTTCTTTCTTTTCTTCTTCTTCAAAATGCCAAAAGGGTTTTGCTTTTGGGACACATAATATATATAGATTGCAATTTGCAAGTAGGGGATGGATGGATATTCAATCCCAAGGCCACATCTCTGGCTTCTTGCCTCCCCCTAAGTGGATTCCCAACCTTACAACCCTAAAAAAAAGTTAATTAGGGTGGACAAATATGTTGACATGTATGATGTTATATAGCATTTCCGGATTAAATTTCGAGTGAGATGTGTTATATGTAGTAGTGAGAAGGTTAGAAACCAATTAGTTCGTGTTGTTGGTTAGTCTGGTAAGCTCTGATATACATTAACGATATGTGTGTGAGTAAAGACGTTCGTTTAGCATGTTGAAAGGGTATTTAGGGAAACCATGGTAGAAGAGTACTCAAACCTATCTCCTTTCTTACATGCTCCAACACCTTAATCACAAGGGATTGCAACTATATTGACACAATCGAGGCCTCATTTTGCAACACTACGTCTTTCAGGACACTTTCGTAACACTTTAGTTATGTCATTCACTCTGTTAATTATAGTCTATTGTATGCACATGAAAATACTATACGTGTCTTATGATGAGTAATCACAATAATTATTGGCTAACATAGTTCTAGGTGTTAAGATAGCAAAGCATAAATTAGAGATGGGGTATTGTGATTAGGTAGGGTTATGCTTTTTGAACTAAGGAGGGTATTCATTAGCCAATCATAAAGATGAGAGGAGCTGTACGGTCAAAGATGGAATATTATATTTATATATGGGATAGAATCTCTTAGATAGATTAGGTTTAATTATTGCAGCTTTACGTTATGTTCTTAATCATTGATAATTAGTTAACACCATCTTGCTATTTGTTTTATTTATTTATTTAGGGTGTGAGCCTTGCTATTTGTTTGATGATGAGAGTTGTTTATAATTTAACTTGAAATGATAAAGTGGCATATATTGCATTGTGGCTTACCATTAAGCTAACCACAACTCGGGGTAATTTTAGCTAGTCTTATAAGTTTAGTTTATTATTTAATAAATCTAACTTATGAATACTTAAACTTATGTCTTGAAATTTAATTATATATTTTTTTCATGATAATTCATTTCACACGTTCGGATAAAATTTTGAAAAATTTACGGGACACTTTTGTTTTTCGATTGAAATCAATTAATTCATCACTTTCGTTGATAGTTCACATATTCTTTGGTCATAAAAGAGCTCCTCGAGCCAATAATGCAGCTAGTCGTTGTTTACACTCCTACAATGATTCGTCCTTGGATTTCCCCTTGTTTTTGGCCTTTGTTTATCACGTTCCTTGAGTCTAGACCACCCTACAATTGGAATACCTTCGACTATCAAACTTGGTTGATCAAGATCAACATATGAGCTCGAATCGCTAGACATAGTTAGCATGGGTGCCACGATGAGTGTAGAATCGACATGCCATTTATGGCATCATGATGCTCCAACAATGCTAATTTTTTTTCTTTTTGGTAAGGATAATATTTTTGTACTTTGTTATTAAGTGCTAGTTAAGAGATTTGAACATGAAAACTTTATATTGAAAATCAACGATAAAACCTATAGACCAAGTTCTTTTTCGCCGCATCATCCCTGCCATATAAATCTCCTTTGTC